GAGGGAAAGTGCACCATGTGCGGCTACCTAGGGCATCAGCACAATGCGCAAGCAGTAGACTTGGACATAGCTCACTGGTTACGGGGGCAGGGGCAAATGCTGGATGGAATACATACAATAAATGCGGACGCGCCGTGCACCATGAAGTGGGCGGAGTATACAAAAGACAAGAAGCAGGACGATAACCCGGACAAGGTGGACGACACGAAAATCACTGACATAAAGAAGGCGGAAACGAAGATAGTGGACGAGGCAAAAAGGGTAATTGAGAAGGCCAAGGTCGCAGTAGAACAGGAAATTGAAAAACAGAAAGGTAAGAACACGCATCATAAAGCTGCTACCTATACGGCCCACTACGTGCCGTATGACTACGAATGCATGACAACAACGCACACGCGGTGACAGCAATGCACACGACGTCGTTGACGTTGAGCGAGCAGCGGTCACGACGGCATCGGCGATGAGCGTGTAGCGACGGCGCATGTAGCGGCGACGGCCACGACGGCGATGAGCGCGTAGCGACGGCGAGATGACGGCAACAACAAATAAAAGTTGTACTGCTACCATCTAGCCCAAGTTCCCCGAGTTGACCGCACCGTACGCTTTCTGTCGCCTGACGCAGTCCATCGCAGTCCACCTTACCGTACGCTTGCTGGCGCCTCACCCAGTCCACCGAGTCCTACCTCGACCCATGCAGCCGACCCACTCTATCGACGCATGCAGCCGGACCGTACCTGGCCGCTACGTGACCGAACCGTCGCGGCCCCTTCTTTCTGTACCACTTTGTGTCCCTTTTTTGTATCATGTTGTCGTTTTACTTCCTTCTTCATTTGCAGCAGGCACGAAACCGCAAGCTCCACCCACTACGGTACCAGAGGTACCAGAGGAGCCTGTTCCTGAGGAGAAAGGACCGCCACAAGGGCCAGGGGCAGAGCGAGGTGACAGGGCAAGGGCTGAAACAGGGGCATCTGAAACAGTACCTGCTGCGGCATCCATACCACAACCCCCACCTGCGGCACCACCACCATCACAATCATCGTCGGGATCGGGATCAGGAACAACAGTATCGAAGGATACGAAAGAAACAGGTAAGTGCTCCAAGGGGACAGAGACCTATACAGTCAAAAACGCAGGCGCAGGTGTCCACGGATCCACATCAAGTACTTCTGTGTCTTTTGGAACGACATCTGACATTGACAGTACTTGTGGGAAGAAACCCGAAGACTCGGGACCAGGTAGTCTCCTGAGTAAATGTCGACAACAAAAACCAAAAAAAAAAAAACAACAACAATTTCCGGCGACACAGCGGGAGAGACCACACGGAGAGAGAGAAACCAAACGTCGAATGAGAATGAGGAGCGGCAGACCGAGACAACCGCGGGATGTGGACGTCCACGTCGACAGACAGACAGACGCACACACTGTGTATGTGTGTGTTGTGTTGCCTGTTGTGTTGTGTGGGTGCGACAGAGAGCGAGCCTTTTCCCGTGGTGGCACCGTCCGCACCGTGCCATGGCCCTTCTTCCCCCGTCCGTCTGCTGCCACGGTCGCCCCGATGCCTGGCGCGGTTCCCGCGGCACCAATGGTGCCCAACCGTGTGGTCCACAATCCATGTCACAACAGTTCAGTTGTCATCACATCCCCTACTGCTTCATTTGACATTGTAGGTAAGCATGGTGCCACTGGTCAGGGCTCGTTAGGATCCCCATCTGCACCCGCAGACGCAGCACCGAAAGTATCAGACCCACAACTACCACCAACACCCACAACAACAGGAACAGAAACAACATCAAACGCAACACCAGGCCCCGCACCGCCAGATGGTAAACCCATCGATTCCGGCGCCCTAGGGGCCACCGTTGTTAGTGGCGGCAACGATGACCCCCCTCCTCTCAATCCACCCAAACCAAAACCGGCATCCGACAATCCAGATCAAGCGGGTGCAAGCGGTAGCGGAGGAGGCGGCGCGGGCGAACCATCCTCAGGAGGTGGTGCAGATGGTGTTTCTGGTGGGGAAGGAAAAGGCGGTGCTGCTGGGGGTGCACCAGGAGGTGGTGGCGAAAGAGGAGGTTCCACTGGTCCCAGTTCTACTGGCCACCAAACTCCTGCTTCCTCAACACCCGGATCCACCGACACTGTGAATCCAGGTTCCTCCGGTACTGGTTCCACGGGACAAACGACTAATGAGAATGTTGAACCAAAAGAAACCCAGGAGGATAAATTACCTGCGGATGCCCCCATCACCCCTTCCGTGCCGACCGGCCTCAGATGGGCAGATGTCAAGTGGTACACCCCTGCCATCATTCCCGCGGTTGTTGGTATTGGGGTCATTGCCTTTTTCCTATGGAAGGTAAGTATATACGGCAATCACGGAATGCCGCATTTGCAGGATGTTTATACCTTCGAACATCCCGACGGGATCCAATATATGATCGTTCGCACCAATATACTCCTACAGCCGCGTTCATTCCTTTTATCCTACCGTCCTCACCCTCCTCTTTACCCTTTTTTTTTCTTAGTACTTTGCGTACCTCGCCAAACGACGACGACCGTATCGCACCGTTCGTGACGTGCCGTCACCGCCACTCGACGAAGAAATCTTGCAACATCTACAACGCGGCGAACGACCGCCACCCGATTACGGGTACACAATGGTTACGGATAGGCAACCTGCGTCAACATCCGGTAGAGCACGCCCACCACGCGTGCATAAGCGCACGATTATCGAGCTACATCTAGAAGTGCTCAACGAATGCGAAACGGCCGCATGGGAAAACGTCAACGACGACTATTGGAAGATTGTCGTGCAGCAGTTTGCACAGGATTTGATGCAGAACGAGGACACAAATAACAATACCTTGGTTGTTTCTACCACAACGCAGGCTTTATCAGGAAACAATGTTTCCTCCACTGACTCGGCAGGAACGGATCCATGTCCACCGCATGAACACGACCCCGATCCATGGAGTTGTATGGAAAACATACAGTTAGCAACGGAACCTTCTGCATCTAACGCACATGACCCCGATTCATGGAGTAGTATGGAAACTATACAATTACAAACGGACCCTTGTCCACCGAATGAACCCGACCCCGATCCATGGAGTTGTATGAAAAACATACAGTTAGATGCACCATACAGCCGTGCCCCTACTGTTCCGGGGGACGCGACGTCCGCCTGCATCCATTGGATTGACCGGCACAAGCACCTATTGCGCGAGTGCACGACGCAGCCGTGGTTTCTGCAATTAAAAGCGGATTGGAAACAATACCTGCATCAACATTGGACAGATGCGGTATCCGGCAACAGTGAACTCGGTGAGCGTGGCAATATCCCATCCGTAGAGATGAAGAAAGATGCCTGGAAAAAGTGGGTTGCAAGGCAACATGCGCTTATGAATACATACAGTGAGCAGGAGTGGTTTCAACATTTGTTGAATAATGTAGAGCAGGAGACAGAATCGCAAAAAGGCGAAGTACCTGCAGTGGAAACGGACTTAGAAGTGGAAAATGTAATGGCCGCAGAACATATGCTAAGAATGAGAGATGCACCACGGACGCAACTGCATCAGCCACCTCATATGAAAAAACCGTTAAGCGCTAACACATGGATACTGATCCTGGCATTAGTCATCGAAGCATGCGAGCTCGAGAGTAGTATGCAACAGAAGGAGTTATATGTAGATGAACTACTGGACAAGCTCTGACATTCGCATGACGTTGCATATGAATGGGACATAACGCATGCTAACCGTACACCACTTTTATTTCATTATGTGATATACATAATATATTTCGTGTTTGCACTATTCCATACCTTCTTTTTTTTTTTCTGCTCTGTTCTGCTTACTTCTGCTTACTTCTGTTTACTTTGGCTTTTGTTCTTTTTCTGTGTAGTCCACTTCTTTTAACATGACCATGGGGACAGGGTGGTACAGGTTAAATGCATATAACACGTAGATTTAAATGAATAATATGAAAGGGTAGAATTCTCCTTTATGTGAAGTTAATTATTAACAGCTGAGCACGTGCATTCTAAGGGTATAGTGCAGCACTAATATAGCATGCGCATACGCATTCGAGTATAAGGACAGGTTGTCTCTCCGCGCAGACGCGGCCGCGTACACCGCATTGTAGCCGAGTGTACGAAGGAGGAGAGATTGTCTCCCCGAGCAACGCATCGGTCCGAGTACAAGACGGATTCGACGAAGTAGCCGCGGGAAGGACGGCAGCAACGACGGAAGCAGAAATTGATGTTGTTACTGCGGTTTTTCGAGTACACAGGGAGTGTAGAAGAAGGGGGTATTTGTTGTTACGGGGGCGTATTTGTTGTTAAGGGGGGTATTTGTGGTTAAAGATTTTAGTGAACACGGCGGAATATTCTGAGTATGTTATGAAAGGAATTCCTCATAAAGGCATATACGTCCGAAGCATAATGTTCAAGTAAAGCGGACTTTGACTAAGTGTCGAGCCTAATGTCATCCTATATAACACCAAAATAGCGGCAGAGCCATGTGGCAGTATTTGAAAGTACTATGGGAAGATTATATTGAGACGGGGAATACGGGAGTGAGGCAGGATGACAACACATTTAATGTAAGTTGATATATATGGGAGCATAGGGCAACATCGCAATAGTGTTATTCACGTGTATTAAAGTAATATTGGGGAGCACTAACAATAAGGGCGGCACGCATGTCCATGCTCTCACCTACTATGTATCCTGTGAGCGGGGACGCGTGACATATATGTACCAGAGGTGTGTTGTTGGACGTACAACTATATAAGAAGCGAAAATCAAGGGCCAGAATGTCCTTTATGCGGACATTCATAATAAATATTGTATTCGTAGGACACATTCTGGAGTAATATTGAGGACGTATGGACGACGTTTAAGGCCTATATGGAACAGGAGGACGAGCATGGACTATTGGGGACGTTGTGCGAACAGCTGCACGATCAAGGCGGAACGCGGGAAGGTGCAGAATTGGACACCAAGAATAAAGCGATATGCGAACTAGCACTGAGAGAATTGCATTTTAAGCACAGAATCCCATTAACTGTGGCCGCCGCGGACTCAAGGAAAACGGGAAACATGCAGGATACAGTGGAATCCTACATGAGGTGCATTCTGGTAAATATATTTATGAAAAGGATAATGGGACAGAAGTGTGTAAAGACCGCAGGCGGGAAAACTGCGTTTAAAGCCGCGGAGGCGCTGGTAAAAGACGCAGCAAATAGACAACCAAATATGGCCTGTGAGAGGGATGATATGAAGGATAAAAGTGCGAGACGGGGAGAACCAGGGGAATGGGACTCATGGACAATAATGGAACGGTGGTTTGATAGGAATACGACAAAATTGAATGATGGCAACGAGGGCGTCTTGGGGAAAGATTGTAAAGTACAGTTAAACCACACCCGGAACAGCCAGAAGCAGGAAGTGATGACAGCGTTAAAGGAGAAAGTACAGCACGAAATGAACGTTGTGGAGGAGCAGATAAAGACGCGCATACAAGAATTAAAGACAGACATGGACAACTCTGCGAGAGGTCAAGGTATAGGGAACATATTAACACAAAAGGCACAACAGGAAAACGACAAGGAGACACGTCCAAGGCAGGAACAGTCGACACCACCTGCAGAACGCCCGGCCACACCAGCACCAGCCAAGCCGAACAGCGGCGGCGCCGCTGCCAAACCAGTAGCGGCGACACCGGGACCGGGAACAAACACGGCACAACCAGGAGTAGGAGAGGATTGTCCATGGATGAGCGTAATGGATAGAGGGCATAGGGCACTTCACGTGATTGTTAGATATAGTGTAAGTTAAAGTAGGTCGGCAGCGAACCATACAAAGAACGGGCAATTAAGTAGTGCCCGCAGAATTGATTCATGCAGTATACACATACATGCGGGTGTGCATGCTTACGACAGGTAGCATGAAGATGCAATGGGCACATGAGTATTTGTTCATTTCCACGTGCACCATATAGAGTGAACAACTGCAGGCATTGAAGACAGTGTTGCAGGAGTTTGCTGATTATATGGACAAGAATAAAGAGCACATGGATACGTGGGGTACAAACTGTGAAAATTATGGTTGGGATGATTTCGGACAGTAGCATGGTCACACAATAGGGCAACGGGTGGCGGACGTAGTACGGTGCAGACTCATGACCCTTGCTTTGTTCTTCGCGAACAAGGAGGGAAAACATGGCAACAGTGAGCCAGCACAGAAAACGCATGACGATATATTGTATGAAAAGTTCAGGTGTGAGGTAGCAAATGTATTTGGATACATGCTCAAGAATCAGTATTGTAAACATAATCCAGGATGGAAGAGGGGTGTGGAGTACGCTTGGAAAACACTGCAAGAGATGGGCAAGGACGTAGATGGGAACAAGGGGCTTACGGGTCCTGTTATGGATGGAAGATGCACACAATGTGGGTATGACGGTAGTAGAACGAAACCGGGAATAATAAATGGGGAGATCGCAGAATGGTTCCTGACAGAAGGAATAATGGGAGAAATAGCACAGATGGAACGAGACATGCCATGTGCCGACAAGTGGGATACATACAAGAAAAAGAACAACTTAAGAAAAGGGGACACTATCCAGGACATTTTGCAGCAACCAGGAATTAAAAACATGAAGGACGAAGAACACACAATAATACAGAAAGCCAAGAAGGTCTTTAAGGAAGCGGAGAAAAAGGTACAGGAAGAAATTGTAAGAAAGGAAGCTGAAGATAAGGACGGTAAGGATACGACTCGTACCAATACAAATACAGTCAACTGCGGATGCGACGGCCGAATACGAATACGCGGCCGCATACTGCCGAATATGGATGCCGCCATCACATCAACAACGCACGAGAACTACGCACGGCGGAACAGCACAGCAAACGACTTCGCTGACGTTGAGCGCTGGCGGAGCGAACGCATATGAGTGGCCACCAGTGAGGAGCGTACCGTTCGCAGAATGCAGTGTAGACGAGCGTGTAGCGATGGCAGTGGCAGCGGCCACGAGGCAAAGGACGACGGATGCAGCGGGACGGCGGACGACATGACGGCGACAACAACATAAAACTGTACTGCTATCACCTCCGTCCACCGAGTACGCAGTTCACCGAGTTCACCTCACCGTACGTGTGCTGTCGCCGGACCCAGTCGACCCACTGCGTCGACCCATGCATCGAGCCGGACGTCCACCCTGCCGCTACCTGACCGAACCGTCCCGGCCCCTTTCTTTCTGTACCACTTGTGTCCTTTTTTTTTTTATCATCTTTCTTCCGCCTTCATTGCAGGCACGACACCGGTAGCTGCAGCAGGAGCACAGCCCGCAGGGCCTGATGCATCAGGCGGAACAAGCAACACTCAGGAGGCCGCGGTTGATGCCGCGGCGAACACCGATACAGGGACGCACAGCAGCACTACCCACAAGGAGGATCCTGAACTGGGTACTGTTACTATACATACGACTGTTACTACTACACCCTACATTTCTACACGCGGTGTGGACCCCACCGCACTGGAGAAACTGGCTGATGCACAGGCGACAGGGCACATAAGTAAGACGTAGGCACCTAGGGACGCCCGCACGCCCACTGGCTGGACGCAGTACAAAAACACGGCAAAAAACAAGAAGGAACAAAAAAAACCAAAAAGCACACCTTTTCCGGAGAGAGGCAGCGAGAGAAACCAAACGTCGAATGAGCGAAAGCGGCATGTAGCGGCCGCGCGATGTAGACAGCTAGACGTCGACAGACGTCGACAGACAGACGTCGAAGCAGACAGACATCGACACACACACGCACCCTGTCTGTGTGTTGTGTGGGAGAGAGAGTCTTTTCCCGCAGTGGCACCTTCGCCACTGCCGCCGTCCCCGTGCTCCCATCCCCGTCCGTCTGCTGCCTCGTCACCCGACCAGCGGTCAACCGCGTGCCCGCGCGACTGCGTGGCCGACCCTGGCCATGGCCAAGCATCCACCGCTGCAACACATCAGTTGCATCATTTTCACGTTTCCATATGTTCCTGCAGAGCAACACCCGGACAGTGTAACACCGCAGAGAGCCCAGGATCCGCAGTCTCCAGCAGCAGAAGGACCACCCGAGGCACCAGCAGAAGCAGCACCAACAACACCAGGTCAGAAGGATACAGAGGTAACTACTAATGAGCAGATACCTCCTAAAGGGGAATCCGGGTCCGCAAGCGAAAGCACAGCATCGAATCCAGACGCACTGGGCACTGGTGCTGGTGTACAACCCGAAGACCCCGACCAGAAGAATACCATCGTCGATGGCGGCAACGATGACCCCCCTCCTCTCAATCCACCCAAACCAAAACCGAACCCGAATCCCGATCAATCGGGTAGTAGTGGCAGTTTCAGTGATGCCGATTTGGCGGATGGAGTTTCTGGTGGGAAAGGCAAAGCCGGAGGTGCTGATGGAGCAGGTCAACCGGGTTCCTCTGAAACTGGTTCTAGTGGGGCCCAAAACCCCGGTTCCTCCGGTCCGGGTTCTCCGGGGACAGGAGCAACTGGGACTCATGGTGCCGGTTCTCCTCCTTCCGGTGGCCCAGCTACACAGGACAATAACCAAGGTCCGATTAGTCTTCCTCCCTACCTCACAACCCTACGACCCTCGCGATCTCATCCCCTACACCCCCGCGATCATTCCCGCAGTGGTTGGTATTGGCATCGTTGCGTTCTTCCTATGGAAGGTACGTACATATGGCAATCAGGGAATGCCGCATGTGCAGGATGTTTATACCTCAGAACATCCCTACCGGCTCCAATATATGATCGTTTGAACCCATATACTCCTACATCCGACTTCATTCCTTTTATCCTACCGTCCTCACCCTCTTCTTTACCCCCCTTTTTCTGCTTAGTACTTTGCCCACCTCGGAAAACAACGACGACGAACATATCGAACCGTTCGTGACGTGCCGTCACCGCCACTCCACGAAGACATATTGCAGCATCTACAACGCGGCGAACTACCGACACCCGATTACGGGTACACGATGATTACGCAACCTGCATCTGCTGCCGCCCGACGACGACGCCCACCACGCGTGCACAAGCGCACGATCATCGAGCTACATCTAGAAGTGTTAAACGAATGTGCAGCAACCGAATGGGAAAACGTCAAAGCGGACTATTCGCAGATTGTCGTGCAGCAGTTTGCGCAGGATTTGATGCGGGACGAGGACACGAATAACAGTATGTTGGGTGTTTCTACCACAAACGAGGGTCCTCCAGGGACCAATGTTTCCTACACTGACTCCGACGGAACTGATATATGTCCACCTAATGAAGATGAACCCGATCCATGGAGTTGTATGGAAACTACACAGTTAGCAACGGACCCTTGTCCACCTAATGACTCCGATCCATGGAATTGTATGGAAAACATACAGTTAGATACAGAACCCGACCCGCACTCCTCCCCGCGGAATGAATGCCCGATCCGCGACCACACTTATTGGATTAACTGGATTGACCGCAACAAGCACCTATTGCAGCAGTGCACGACGCAGCCGTGGTTTCTGCAGCTAACGTTGGCATGGAAACAATACCTGCGTGAGCACATGGCGGCAGACGCGGACAACGGACAACGTGCATTCGGTGAGGCACCCACCCCGCCGATGAAGAAACTGGATGCATGGAAAGCATGGGTTGCAAAGCAACATGCGCTTATGAATATATATGGTGAGGAGGAGTGGTTTCAACGTTTGTTACAACATATCGAGGAGGAGACAGCATCGCAAAACGGCGAAGTACCTGTAGTGGAACATGTAATGCCAGCAGCAGACTTGCTACAAGTGAGAAATTTATCGCTGTCGCAACCACTGCATCCGCAACCTTACATGACAAAACCGGTAACCGCTACAACATGGATACTGATCCTGGCATTAGTCATAGAACAGTGCGAGCTTGAAAGCCGTTTGCAGGAGACGGAGTTATATGTGGATGCTTTATTACAGAATATGCGACATTAGGATGACGTTGCATATGAATGGGAAATAACGCATGCTAACCGTACACCACTTTTATTTCATTATGTGATATACGTAATATATTTCTTGTTTGCATTATTCCATACCGTCTTTTTTTTTTTTTTTTCGTTTGTGTTTTTTGCTGTGCACTTCTGCTTTGTTTTGCAAGCGTTGGGCCGTCAACTTCTATTAATATAACTATGGGGACAGGGTGGTACCGGTTAAATGCATATAACATGTAGATTTACATGAATAATATGAAGGGGTAGAATTCTCCTTTATGTGATGTTAATTATTAAAACATGAGCACGTGCATTCTAACGGTATAGTGCAGCACAAATATAGAATGCGACTACGCATTCGAGTATAAGGAGAGATTGTCTCGTTGAGCACACGCGTCGACCAAAGCGGCCGGGTAAACGAGCATTGTAGCCGAGTGTAAGAAGGAGGAACACATTGTCTCTCCGAGCAAACGCGTCGACCAAAGCGGCCGAGTAAGCACGGCTATTGTGTGCGAGCAAACGTGGCCGCGTAAAGGCGATTGTCCGAGTGAGGGATCCAGAGAGCGGGGGACGGGGACGAAGGACTACACATATTTTGTGCGAGCCATAAGGTCCGCAAGGACGGCAACGACGGCAGCAGTATTGATGTTGTTGTCGCTACTGCGGTTTTTAGTTGTACGCACAGAAAGACAGTGTGTGTGACAGGCGTTTAGTGCAGATCGGTGTAGAAATGGGGGAGCGGGGGCGTATTCATGACAGTGAGTAGTGTTTTTTATATTTTTTCTGGTCTTTCTTTCTCTTTTTTTTTTTTTTTTCTTTCTCTTCTTGTTATTCTATCCTTGTATTTTTTTCTCTTTTCTCGATATAGTTCTCCCTTCGCGCAACTATAACTAGTGTAGGGTAGCACTATAGTGAGCAAAAGTACATATGATACCAGCAGTTCGCGTAAATATGGTTGTACAAGTAGACCAAGAATAAGTATTTAGCCCAATATTAGCATACTACGGAAGACCATGTTACATGGGTTTACATGTGATATATGTAGCATAATAATATTTCAACGGGTCTGGACAAAGTAGAGAATACTAATAGAATAACACTAATATGTCCGCACAGCACCTAGCCAAGGTGTTGGCCCAATGGGTACGGGCGCGGGGTGCATACATGCGCCACGAGGATTATCTGGTAACTTAGAGTGATTGGCACGATATTAAACGCAGTGCATATTAATTTGCTCATGCATACGGGCAGGCAGTTTATGGAGAGCACCTACGTGCCATATGTGAATGAGTATGCACGGTGCCCGCTGTTATGATAGTGAGGGCACGCCTAGTGCACTGTGCAGAGGAATGTATTGAGACGTGGATTAAGTGTAAAGGAGGAAGCGCCAGTTGTACACTATGCATATATGTGTCCTATTATTTGCAGCACAAACTGTGGGATGATATAGCAAAGGAGTTAGAAGCATTTATAGAGCACGTAACAGAAAAGGATACGGAGGGTTGGGATGAGAACTGTGAGAATGCGTATTATAACCACAAGACGAATCCTAATGGTAACCCGCGAAGGGTAGAATACGCGGGAGACAGAATTATGTGCAGACTAATGGTAGGAGCATTATATTTTATGAATGAGAACAGTTGGCCTATGTGGGGAGGGACTATGCTGGTCAGTAATGATGATGAGATGAAGGAATATGTGAGATGTGCCATTGTCAATATGTATATGGAAATACTCAAGGAATCATCATGTGGTGGAGGATGGGGTTTATGGTATGCATGGTACACCATGAAAAAGATGGAAGAAGGGCTACAGGGTGGTTTAATAACCACAGGTAAATGTGGGAATGCAGTGTTTAAAAACATACAAACAGAGGAATTCGACATGGCACAAAAGATTAAGGCATGGTTAGAGAGCACAAGGCGCTTGACTGACAAGATTAGAGGGAAAGGAATAGAAAGCACATGCAAGAAAAGCTTAGTAGAACTTGGGGGGGTAACACCGAGTAAACATGCCAAGGATGAAAAGATAAAACTGCAGCCACAGGAGAAAAAAGTTATACAGGAATTAGGCGAAGAGCTGAAGGTGAAAGTTGAGGATGTAAGGACAGCCGCAGTGCGATGCGCGCGGGAGAAAGGAGCATGCATAGACCCTAGCGAACACGACGCCAGTAGCAATCCTGAGAATGCCGACAGTAAGGCCACAGTACAGAACTCTGTCGAAAGCAGTACACCAGCGCCATCGGGCAAAGAGGGCGGCCCAGAATCGTCCCAACCGGCCACAAAAGTACAGGCCAAACCGACAGGTAAGGACCGATGGGGAGAAAGCACGAATGCGCCACGCACGCATACGGCTGTACACGAACACGACCTGTATGGCCCAATATGGATGCCGCCACAACAACAACACGCACGCACACAGCGGCACGGCCACAACAAAGCACACGCGGCGACGACAGCACCGGAGACGGACAGGACGAGGCACCGGATGAGGGAGAAGGGACAAGATGACGGATCGGCGAGCAGGGACGGCGACAACATAAAAGTGTACTGCTACCATCCCATCCACTGCACGCCGTTCCACCCTTCCCCATAGCTTTCTTCTGTGTTTATCCATCCTCTTTTTTTGTAACACTCGCCCTTGTGAACATATCTTGTCCCCTTCGCATGCGCTCAACCACCACAACCAGCACTCGCGGAGACCGAAGGCGGGAGGTCACAGTCCGCATCAACACCGACCGGATCGGGGCAGCAACCAAAAACACCGGCATCTCCAGTATTACCAGCAGGACCACCACCACCGCCCCCGGGAGAACAACCACCATCACAATCATCGTCGGGATCGGGATCAGGAACAACAGTATCGAAGGATACCAAAGACACAGGTAAGTGCACACGCGGAACTACGGTATATGAAGAGAAAAATGTGGGCAGCGGCGTCCCTGGTTCCTCATCAAGTATCACTATCTCCGTTGCCCCGAGCCCGGCAACTGATGATGAATGCGGGCAGAAGTCCAAGGCCTCGAGCGAAGGTAGTGTCCTGAGTGAATGTCGACCAAAAAAACAAAGAGAAAAAAAAAAAACAACACCAATTTCCGGAGAGAGAGGGAGAGACAACGCAGAGAGAGAGAAACCAAACGTCGAATGAGAATGCAAGCGGCAGAGCGATGGGTCGGCCGCGGCAGGCAGCTGCCGGTAGACACAGACGTACAGAGGTTGACACACACACTGTGTGTGTGTGTGTTGTGTGTGTTCTGTGTGTGGGAGAGAGAGAGAGAGTCTTTTCCCGGAGTGGCACCGTCCGCACCGTGCCCCCATACCCTCCTGAAGCAGGCCCCACCGTCCGTCTCCTGCCTAGACGCCTGGTGGTCACTGCCCCGTGCTATGCCCCGTCGACAGACCAACAACCGTGTAGCCGACCGACTGTGTGGCCAAACCACAGCACCGGACCGTGTGGCCGATCGTGTGGCCATGCACCGTACAAAACTTCACTTCAGTTTCTCCCATGTTTTTCTTTACCCCTGGGTACCCATATAGGAACTGAAGCAGGGGAAAACAAAGACACAACGGATCAAAACCAAACAGCACAAGCACCAGCAGCGGCAGCACCCAAGGCAGAACCAACGCAAGAAGCAGCACACCAGCCAGCCCCAGGGCTAGGGCACACGGGTGCATCTGGTTCCAATGGTTCACCCGGTGACACAGGTCCCTCTGGTGCAGCTGGTCCTACTGGTCAAGGTTCTACTGGTACTGGCTCCGCGGGGAATACGAATCCAGGTTCCACTGGTGACCAACCCCCTGGTTCCTCCGGACCTGGGTCCACGGGCACTGCGAATTCAGCTTCCTCATCTAAGACCTTCACACGTCTTGCTTGCCCAGCCTCTGGTACTTATGACGGTATATCCTCATGCGATCTACGATTGTCCCTGAATGCCTTCGACGGAGGACAGGCTCTGTCTGGGTCATATGGACTATGGACACCGAGCGATGTATTAGATGGGCGACCGGCACAACCGGGTCATTCAGGCGGTCCATCTGAGGATGGTGGCGGTCCACATGGACCCGACCTAACCGGTGTTGTCCTTACCGCCACTACTCCCATCCTGTTTTTTCTCACTTACGTCACCGTCGCCCTTCTTGGTTATTCCCTTTGGAAGGTAAGTATACACGACAATGCGGGCATCCCGCATGTTCATCCGTCATATGTACCATTAGCAATGCGTTTCTAATGGGGCTTTTGTATGATCATTCTAACACAAATGCACTCTTCTACATCGTCCTGTTTCTTTTTTTTTCTGCTTAGTACTTTGCGTACTTCGCCAAACGACGACGAACATATCGAACCGTTCGTGACGTGCCGTCACCGCCACTCGACGAAGAAATATTGGAGCATTTACAACGCGGCGACCTGCCGCCACCCGATTACGGGTACACGATGGTTACGCAACCTGCATCTGCTGCCGCACGCCGCGGACCACGCCCACCACGCGTGCATAAGCGCACGATCATCGAGCTACATCTAGAACTGCTCCACGAATGTGCAGCGACCGAATGGGAAAACGTCAAAGACGACTATTTGCAGATTGTCGTGGAGGAGTTTGCGCAGGATTTGATGCGGGATGCAAACGGGCATAGTAGTTCCTTGGATGCTCCTATCACAAACCAGGGTTTATCAGGGCACAATGCTTCCGCCACCGTGGATCCATCCACTGACGCCGACGGCAAAGATCCATGTCCACCTAACGAAGATGACCCCGATCCATGGAGTTGTATGCAAACCATGCAGTTCGCAACGGGCCCTTGTCCACCACATGACCCCGATCCATGGAGTTGTATGCAAACCATACAGTTACCAACGCACCCTTGTCCACCACATGACCCCGATCCATGGAGTTGTATGGAATCCATACAGTTAGATGCAGAACAGAATGCTCATTCCGACCCCGACCACGTGACGTCGTACTGCATCCATTGGATTAACTGGATTGACCGCCACAAAGATATTCTGCGGGACTGCACGACACAGCCGTGGTTTTTGCAATTGAAAGCGCATTGGCAACAATACATGCGTCAACATGCGACAGACGACGTATGCGGGTACCGTGAACTCGGTGAGGCACCCACCCCGCCGATGCAGAAATTGGACCTGTGGAAACAATGGGTTGCACAGCAACATCGGCAAATGAGTACATACAGTGAGCAGGAGTGGTTTCAACATTTGTTGAATAATGTAGAGGAGGAGACAGTACCGCAACACGGCCAAGTACCTGCAGTGGAAACAGACTTAAACATGCAAATAGTAACAGCAGCAGCAGACATGCTACGAGTGAGAGATTTACCACGGACGCAACTGCATCGGTCACCTCATATGAAAACACCGTTAACTGCCAAATTGTGGATGCTGCTGCTGGCGTCGATAATCGAAGAATGTGAAATCGAACGCAGTTTGCAGGAGACGGAGTTATATGTAGATGAAGTACTGGACAAGCTCTGACATTCGGATGACGTTGCATATGAATGTGAAATAACGCATGCTAACCGTACACCACTTTTACTTCATTATGTGATATACATACCATATTTCTTGTTTTTACTATTCCATACCGTCTTTTTTTGTATTCTTTTGTGTTCTGCTTACTTCTGTTTTCTTTTGCCTTGTTTTTTTCTTTTTCTGTGTAGTCAACTTCTTTTAACATGACCATGGGGACACGGTGGTACCGGTTACATGCATATAACATGTAGATTTACATGAATAATATGAAGGGGTAGTATTCTCCTTTATGTGAAGTTCATTATTACAACATGCGCACGTGCATTCTAAGGGTATGGTGTAGCACTAATATAGAATGCGACTACGCATTCGAGTATAAGGAGAGATTGTCTCTCCGCGCAAACGCGGCCGCGAAAAGCAGATTGCCACCGAGTGAACGTATTTGACGACGTAGCCCAGTGTAAGAACGGAGGGAGAGATTGTCTCTCCGAGCAACCGCGGCCGCGTAAACCGCATTGTCCGCGCGTCAGAAGGCGGGAGATTGTCTCTCCGAGCACACGCGTCGACCAACGCGGCCGCGTACACGTGTTCGCCGACGGATTGTCCGAGTGTAACAACGACGACAGCTTGTCTCTCCGCGCAGACGCGTCCACCAACGCGGCCCAGTGTAAGCCGGAGGACACATGGTCTCTCCGAGCACACGTAGCCGCATAAACACGACTGTCCGAGTGAAGCAGTTCGACGACGTGGCCGAGTGAAGCGGTTCGATTACGGCGTTCGAGTCAGGATCACAGAGGGAGCTGAGAGCGCAGGGACGGAGGAAGGAACAGGCATATTATGTGGGAGAGCGACCAACAAACGGCAACGACGGCAGGACGGCAGCAACGACGGAAGAAGAATTTGATGTTGTTATACTGCGGTTTTGTTGTGTACGCACAGAGAGACAACGTTTGTGCAGGCGTTTAGTGCAGAACGGTGTAGAAAGGGGGCAGGCGCGCGTTATTCATGACGCGTGTTGTGTGTACGGTAGTGTAGTAGTACCTTTTTTTTCTTTTTCTTTTTAGTCCTTCTTCTTTTTTGTTTCCTGTTGTTCTGTCTTTTTCTTTTTATATATGCATTTTTCTCTTATTACCTATATATGCGTCCTACATGATTCAATACTATTGCATGTGTGGGATTCAGCAGGTGAAACGTATGAATTTTGTGTTTTGTATAGAATTGTAATGTTGACAGAGACATTAATAATAAGCAGTAAACGGGGAATACAGGAGGCAGCAGTGCATGAGCCGAGACAGGGTCCATGCTGTTCACATGGAACAGTAGCACCACAGTTGACAATGTAACATTGTAAGTTATCTGACGCAAGAGGGGACGAATGACTTTACAAGAGTTTACAAGTTTATTGGTGGATTATATAATAAGAAGGAAAATAAGTGGGGACCACAACGAAGGCGCAGATTTTAGCGTAAGTTTCTCTGATAAAGACTTAGAGAATATAGAGTGATGTGAACTGTTACATTTGAGGACACGTATACTGGGGTAAAATATAGAACCGTGGGAGAATATATACATTCTGTAGCTTGGTTTTGTGGTATGCTTAGGACAAAAATATGTGCGGAATAGGGCATGAGGTCTGCATGTGCTCATGAGCAACTTAAAATTATGGCAGGTGACATAACTATGGATGTATACATTATTTCAATTGTAGGAGAAAATATGGACGGATATAAAGCGCCTGTTCGGCGAGTTAGCTACATATGTGGATGCGAGAAGATACCCCGATACGATAAAAACAATATGTAAGAACCCCGAATTCCGGCCCGCGCATCTTCAGGATACCTTAAGTACATTTATATGCATGGAGGTCGGGAACATATTTTATTATATGGAGGGATTGAATACAACAGGAACCGCACAGAGTAGTACGGATCAAGGAGAAGGCGAGCTGTGGAACTACTTAAGGTGCATCATAGGCACCTGGACCCTCATGAAGTTACATGGCAACAAATGTAACATAAGAGAAATCACGACACATGTTTCAAAATTCATGGGTATACTGGAGCACACCTTCAAAGCTGTAACTAATAGACACACATGTGCTTGGGTTAAATTTGAGGAACTCAAAATTGGAACACGGCTTATGGGGGAAGCAATGGAACAATGGGTAACCGCATGGCAGAAGCGACGTGCTAAAGTAAAAGTGGGTAATGTAGCAGCTAGATGTGGGCACCATAAGAACACAAGTGCGGGAGGTGATGAACAGGAGAAGGAGAAGGACGCAGGTAGTATTGAAATATTGCGAAATAAAAATCTGGGAACTGTGAGGCAATGGATGGATGATAAAGAATATTTACCAAAGAGTACTGTGACGGCAATAATTGGGAAGATACAGGAAAGTAACGACAACGAACAGGGTAAAAAGATATTGAACGCAGGTATACAGGAATGGGAGCAGGCAAGGCATAACACATCATCCAATGCAGCAGAGACATCAGGAACACCAGCAGCTCCATCGGGCGCGTCAGAACACGGTAATACAGGTAATGCAGGAGGCACCAGCACGCCCGCCACGGCGCCTACTGATCCGGCAACAAAAAAGGAACCCACAGGTAAGACCGATGGGAGCATGCACGAATACGACTACGGCCTAATACGGATCGTACGGCCTGTACGACCGGGCATGGATGCCGCCACAAACACGGCCGCTACAACAACACGCACGCACACGCAGTGGAACAACACCGCAACGGCTACAACAACGCACACGCGGCGAGAACAGCCCAACAGCGCGGTGCGAAACAACAACGCACACTAGGGAACAGCACAACAACACAGCAAACGACTTCGTTGACGTTGAGCTGCGGCGATGTGTGCGTGACGGCCACGACGGATGGAGCGGAGACGACGCAGCGGGACGAGATGACGGCGGCAACAAATAAAAGTTGTACTGCTACCATACCATGTCACCGTACGCTTGCTGCCGCTACTGGACCCCACCGTCCGCCCCTTCTTTCTACCACGTGTGTCCTTGTTGTATCATTTTGTCGTTTTTCTTCCTTGCTTCATTTGCAGAGAAGGAGAAGGAGAAGAAGAAAGAGGAAGGACCACCAGCTAAGGTACCAGAAGTGCCGAAGACGGTTTCCCCGGACAAGAACACACCACAGGCAGGCAGCGGACCAGATAGCAAGGGTAGGAATGATGAGGGGTTACCGGACGCCTTACCACAACCCCCATCGGCCGCAGGGGCAGGTGGGCAACAACCAGGTCAGGGACCAGGACCTGGACAACAACCCCCACCTCCACCACCAACGGTGAAGGAAGGAGAATCAGGAGTAGGAGGAAAAAAGGAGGACGTAGAAACAGTAGCCCAGACACCACCGAAGGGAGATGCAAAAACTGATGACGCTAATACTCCAGCAGGTAAGAAGATTGCACCAAAGTGTGAAGTTACCACGCAGACTCAAGAATCTTCAGGTGTTGATAAGAGCGGTAATGTTCATTCTGTGGCCGTGACCTTCAACATCACTCCAACTGCGCCCGAATGTTCAGGATCTGGCACTTCAGGTGATGCATCGTATAAAAGAATAAAGAGCGAACACTGAGAACTGTAGTAACCTTAACATCTGATGCTGCGTATCAACCTGCATATGTACACACCATGAATACGGAAAAACAACGACACAAACACAAAACTTTTCCGCAGAGAACATCTCGCAGAAAGCCAGAGAGAAACCAAACGTCGAATGAGAGAGACGCGCGGGAGAGTGATGTAGAGCGATTGCCACAGCCGCGGGGAAGTAGCGCGACGTAGAGACGTCGACGTCGACAGACGTAGACACAGACACTGTGTGTGTGTTGTGGTGTGTGTGTTGTGTGGGAGACAGAGAGAGAGTCTTTTCCCGGAGTGGCACCGTAACCAAGGTTCGCAACGTGGCCAACCGTGCGCGATGGCCCACAACAACGGTGTTGCCCATTGGGGGACCAATAATGTCAAATAGTTTCAAACCTCAGTTGTATCATTTTTTTTTTCTCCTGTATGACTATGCAGGTGACCAGAAGCCACAGGATACGGAGCACGCGGGATCACAGGGACAACCAAAGGCAGGGACCTCGCAGGCACCACAGACGCCCTCTAACTCTAGTGCAGATGAATCGAAGGATAGTAAGAACACAGAGGGCACGGTACAAGGAGGCGGCACGACAACTAGGCCTTCGGGGGTCGATACGGACAAACACTGTACTCAGAAAGATGGCAACCATGATTGTGATCTCAAATTAGCAGTACCGTTTGAACCTACCATAAAACTCTGGGATGGACACTTTGGAACAGGACCAACACCAGGTTCAAGGGGACAAGCTCCGCAGAATGTGCAAGATAATGGTCCCTTCTTGCCCGACCTAACCGGCACGGTCCTTACCGCCACTACTCCGATTCTCTTCTTCCTGTCCGCCGTCATCGTTGCCCTTCTTGGTTATTCCCTTTGGAAGGTAAGTATATATGGCAATCACGGAATGCCGCATGTGCAAGATGTTTATACCTCAGAACATCCCTACCGGCTCCAATATATGATAGTTCTAATCCATATACTCCTACGCCCTCGTTCATTCCTTTTATCCTACCGTCCTCACCTTCCCCACTCACCCCCTTTTTGTGCTTAGTACTTTGCGTACCTCGCCAAACGACGACGAACATATCGAACCGTTCGTGACGTGCCGTCACGCCCACTCGACGAAGAAATATTGGCGCATCTACAACGCGGCGAACTGCCGCCACCCGATTACGGCTACACGCTGGTCAGGGATAGGCAACCTGCGTCAACATGCGCCCGACGACGACGCCCACCCCGCGTGCATAAACGCACCATCATCGAACTACATCTAGAAGTGCTCAACGAATGTGAAGCAGCCGCGTGGGATACGGTGAAAGACGACTATTTGCAAATACTCGTTGAAGAGTTTATGGGGGGCAACAACACCTGTACAAGTAGCTCCGACGTCTGTACCCCAGACGACGGTTTAGCAACCCAGGA